CCCGAAATCTCTTAATTTGTTTGTATTTGTTCATGAACTACAGCATATTTCTCTCTTTAAACACTATAGTATCGTATCAAGTATGCGTGTGCCTACTTTTTCTCAAAAACTCTTTAAATCAGCCGACACTTAGTGCCATAGGTTACAGTACCTGTGACGAACTATTCTGGAAAAAAGGGTAAGTATATTGTACGAAGATTTGTGTAGTTTCAGGAGGAAAGCGTACCGGTGGGGGCTATTTCTGCTTAACCCTTCTAAAGCCGTTCGGCATTTAGCCAAGGTCGCCGCCCAAATATTGCCCTGCTTCGGAACTACTGTGCATCCTCGCGTTCGGAGCAGGATGTGTCACTACGACAAAATGTGGCTCTTCTCAGGTAGACAAGAACTTGAACCGTTATTGTCCCGCTCTAACCTTTTCCAGAGCTATTGTCACTGTCTTGTGGAATCATCAGATGCGGCTGTCCAATTCCACGGCGGACCGCGCAGCCACGCTGCGCCGTCCTCACAATATCGGAGGGCAGCCTATGCACCCTTACGAATCCCAAAGCGGCATAGCGACTCTACGTGCGCACGCTGTTCTATATAAGCGGATCTTCCGAAGTGGGAGCTATAGTTTCGGATTACTTGAGCGCAATCCCGTGGCTGCCGTCATCGCCTGTGGTTAATATACGGTTAGGCACAAGCTAGGAGACTTGTTCTACGGACTTGGCTAAAACGCACGTGAAGCAGAATAACCAGGCACGTGGGGCTCGTCTGAGACATATAATCCGGTGGGTTTATAGCGGCCAAGATGTTGGCTGTCTTCTCCCCAGGCGAAGATGCCGGTGTAGTTCACACTTGGTCGATGGGAGGCGCTCTACTTCATTGGTCCTGCATTCAACCTCCAAATTGTTTGACGAGATGCTTGCTTTGCAAAGGCAGTGCACATAGCATTTCGATGCGATCAGCCCGCAGGCACGGAGTGACGCAGAGCGCAGATAACACCAAGCTTCACTGCAAATTTATTGCCTGTCCTCCTTACAGAAGACTGATTGGCCACGCTAACTACGCTTTCAGGCACACTGGTGGGCATAATTATGTCGTTTAATGTAGTTTCCACTCTTGAAACCACTGCTACGGAAACTGTAGTGAACTTAGTTCGGCTGCGGCATGCCTCTCCCGCTCTGCTTACCAATGCTCATTCCTATCATTATAAATTAAACATATAGTTTTTCGAAAAGGAAGTCTACGCGAAACGTTTGAGACTCCTCAATGCCTGGGATGCATCTATGTTCTCCCATTGTTTCTCCGTTACAGAGTGGGTGTGCAACACAATAGAGTTCGAACCCAAATCCCTAGGCCTAAATAGAGGCCCTATTGCCCAAGGATTCCGTTGCATGTACTTATTATGCTAATCTACATATTCTGAATTATATGGCCATGAACGCCATATCTGGGAACAATATGGAGTTGCTCTACAGAAACAGCTCTTACATTCCTTACAGATACTGCAACGGTTCCGAAGAGTTGTCAGCTCACTCTCAACAAGGAAATATAGTCCTGAGAAAAGATACACGGCAGCGCCACTCCAGAATACTTTAAGCCGAAAACGACAGAAATTTTCACACGCGTTCAGCCCTCAAAAAGTTCAAGCCGACAAATAGAGCTGCCCGCCCTTTTGGAGGCAGCAACACACAAAACACTTTATAGTGAGATTATGTAGCACTGTGCGCTGAGGCTGTACTCATGTTTTGCGGGCTCAGGATTGTTTGCATAATTTACAAAGTCTATACGTTGGCTGCAAGTTTATTTGAAGCGCATTGGGCTCTCAAGCTGCAGAACGGCATGTGTGCGCTTCTTGTCCTCTCTCTGTATTAATTGTCGTTCTACTTTGATGCTTGTGTTTCTCTCACCATTTTCATCCTCCTGGCCTTCATTTTTCTGTATCCTCCCGCTTTTGCCTTTCTGTCTTTGCAGCTCTCTTTGTTTGTCTTGCATCTTTGCTGGCCTCTTTGCCTTTCGTTTCCTGCCACATCTTTGGTGCTTTTGGATCACTTGTCGGCTTCTTTCCGTGCACCTTGTCTTTGCTTCCGGAACATTGCGCCGGTGGGAAGCCAGCAGCTAGTCCTACTTCTAGAGCATTTGAATGGCTGCACAGCTCCTACACCTAAAAATAGGTTAATTGCGCTGACAGTGGAAGGTAATGGCCCTTGCCACACGCTTCTCGTCTACCCCTCTGCCTATCTGCTAGTTAAACTGCCGCAGATGCTACTGAAAATTATGAAGTGTACCTGAGGGTATACGGGCTGTGCGGAGCTTCATACACTGTACACAGAACTGATGCACGGTAATCTGAGAATGAACAACAAATGCATAGGCCCCTTCCTCCTTGTTTCATTGCTTCTGAACATTGCTTCTTTTTCTGTTGTCTGTTCCTTCGGACGACAACAGGAGTCAACACCGGGAACTTTCGCTTTCTGCAATGCTAGTGTTGCTCTCCTAACCTAACCTGCTCATAGAAACGTGCGTTTGTGACTAATACCGGGATGAAAATCCGCATTCGTCCATACGCACCAGTGAGCAACTGGATACAAAGCACGAATATGTGGAAGTCAGAAGGCTCAGATGCACATACGTGCATTTCCGTGGAATCAACGGTTTACGATGGCCCTTGTCTTTCAGTTGTTTGGATCCCGTTTCTCGTTGTTGACCTACTCCGCTCACTGCAGAGGCAGCTTCCTGTCGTGCACTTCCCTAGCTAGGAGCATAGGGTGACAATTTAGATTCCTCTCGTCTTCCTGATTGTCTGATGCGTATTTTAGCGTTGTTTTCCGCAAAATTATGCTGTCCACAAATGCGGCGTGACCACGTTAGCGACCCCGGAACCAGCAAGCGCTGTTGCTCCTGCAGTGCAACACGCTGCACTTTGAAGTGCCTAAGATGCTGCTGTTAGGCAAGGCTCTTCTTTGCAGCCTCTAATTTCTATGTTCGGGCAAACGAGGTGCAACCTTCCACCTAAAACCCTAAACCCTAGGCTCCAAACCCCAAGATCTGAAGGCAGGACCCTGAACTCCCGTCAGTCTGGCAAAAAAAAGCCTGCATCGAGCACGTTTGCAATTGAAGGTAAAAACGAGTTATTGAACACGTACTTGTGCAAATAAAACTAGCACAAAGTCGTTTGCGAGGAAAGAAACATCAGCAATCGCCCTAATTATTATTCATTAAACACAACCAACGCCGCCTCTCCCTCCACCAAAGGTCGAGACACAACGGCTACAATCCTGCAGCAGCAGCTGCTGCTACAGAAACTGCAACTGCTGCTGTTGCTGCTGATGATCTGCAGCTTCCTAGCCCAAAGGCCGCTGAAACTGATGTTCTCTAGTCCTAACCTCGGTTTCACCCCCGACGCAATTCTTATGAAATGTATGAAGACTTTACTTTTTATGCGCAAACAAGGCCTGCTGCAGTTACACAAACCAGCGACTGTCTGCAGCAGAGCCGCGATCACACACACAAGTAGTGCTGCTGCGGCCGTTGTTGTTGTTGCTGCAGCTGCTGCTCCCCATTCCCTACACCACGTTTGTGTGGCAGCCGCCTTATCCCTGACTCTTTGAGTAAAGGCCCACTTGCGGATTCAGTTGGCGCTAAGTTCACGGTTTCCGTGCAACTGCTACCGTTGCTGCTGCTGCTGCTGCTGCTGCTGCTTACTCCTTGTACCATTTTCTCGCGTGGGCTGCGTACGTCTCAGGGCTGACGGCCTCCACCACAATGGGCATGAAGCCGTGGAGAGCCCCACAGAGCTCGCTGCACTGCCCGTAGAAGACCCCCTCCCTCTGAATGAAAGTGTTCACCTTCTGGAGGCGCCCCGGGATGGCATCCGCCTTAATGCCCAGCGCCGGCACTGCCCAAGAGTGGATCACGTCTGTGGCTGTCACCAGAAAGCGAATGTGAGTGCGGGTCGGCAGCGTCAGCCGGCGGTCGACCTCCAAGTTGCGCAGCATCCCCGGTAGCAGATCTTCGTCGGAAACCATGTTGCTTTGGAAAGTGTAGTAAGTGGGAATCAGATCGGGGTTTTCCAGGTACTTGGCGGGGGTGGGATAGTCCGCGGCGGACACGTTCTGCATGGCTGGAGCTGATTTGGCCGCAGCAGCAGCATCCGTGATCGGGCGCACTACTTCCGGCTCTGCTGCTGCTGCAGCAGCTGCAGCGGGAGCAGCGGAAACCTCCGCGCTGCGGCATAACGCAGGACTCGCTCCGCCTTGAGTCAGAGACGGCAGCAGGAGGCCGCTGCGGTCATCCTTGGAGCCGGAAAACCAGCAACGCATGCGCTCCAGCATTTTCAATAGGGTCCGCTGTTCCTGCTGCTGCTGCTGCTGCTAAGCCTGCTGCTGCTACTGCAGCTGAAATAGCTTCAACAAAAGAGGCGAAGTAGCTCGATGCGAGCTGTACACACTCACAGAAGAAGCACCCACTGCAGCCTTAGCTGCTGCTGCTGCCGTTGCTCCAATCGCCAGCAGGCCAGGCGCCTTGTCAGTCAAAGACCTATCCGAATATTACTTCGTTAAGTACGATGGGAAACGTGACTTTGATCTGCTCTGAGTCTGCTGCTGGATGTCTGCTGCTGCTGCCCAGTCGCTGCTGCGACCAGTTGGGGCCCACGGCGGCGGCCACTACTGAAATGGGTCCTGCGCTGCTGCTGCATGCACTCATCTCTTTGCCTTCTTCACTACCCGTGTGCATAAGACGGTATATTTCTATTGTTTCAGAACAGTTCAACGAAAGCAGCAACGCAGCTGCAGCAGCAGACGCACTGGCACGGCTCGGCAGCTGCTTTGGCGTGTCTATTCCGCCATCTGTGTACCTTTCTCACAAGAGTTGACAGGATAATTCCACCAGAGGAAAGCCAGGAAGCATCAGCTGTCGCAGCAGCAACGCTAGCAGCAGCAGCAACACCAGCAGCAGCTGCAGAAGGCGGTGCGGCTGTGCGGCTGCAGCAGCACTCGTTGCTGCTGGTTCGGAAAATGGTGGACTACAGCAAATGGGACAAGCTGGAAGTGGACAGCAGTGATGAAGAGACGCCAGGTGCAACGTGTGCTCCGCGCAAGCATGCGCTGCCCGGCAAGAGCAGCAGCAGCAGCAGCAGCAGCAGCAGCAGGGGGATCGATTACAGCAAGTGGGACCACATCGGCGACGACGAGGAGGAGGAAACTCCGGCCCCCCGAGTGAGGCGGCTCACAAAGGATGAAGCTGTGACAATTGGCCCTGAGGGTTTGAACATCCATCCGAAGAATGAAGAAGCAGCGCAGCAGCAGCAGCAGCTGCAGCAGTGGATGGAGGAGGAGCAGCAGCAAGAGATGGGCGAGATGGGCATGTCCTTCGAAGACGCCCACGAGTGGCCTCGGTGCGGCCCCGTGCAGGCTGCAGAGTTGCCCGCAGCAGCAGCAGCAGCAGCGGACGCAGCAGCAGCAGCAGCAGGCCTCCCCGCCGTCGTGTCCACGGGACTCGGAAAGTCCGAAATGCAAAAACTTGTCCGAAATGGAGGAGTTAGCGAAAATAAGTACTTCTGGAGACAAACAGCAAATGAAGTTGTGTTGTCTTTGGCGCTGCCGCTCGGCGTCCGGGGCCGGGACCTGCGCGTACACCTCACGGAACACACTCTCAAGATCTGCTGCGCGAGCACCCCCTTGCTGCCTCCCGCCAGCAGCAGCAGCGACGCAAGCAGCAGCCGTAGCAGCAGCAGCAGCAAGGAACACGTGCTGCTGGAGGGAAGCTTCCCCCACCCCGTAGAGCCCGACGAGGACTCGTGGCTGTGGGAGGTGACGGAGAGGCGCATAAACTGGAAGCACCTTAAGGAAATAGCGACGCAGCAGCAGCGGTCGAAAGAAAGCAGCAGCAGCAGCAGCAACAACAACAGCAGCAGCAGCAGCAGCAGCAACAGCGAGAGCATTACAGAGCTGCCACAGGAGACGCTGCCGCCAGCGCTCTTTTTCGTTGATCTGCATCTCAGGAAAAAGAAGATCCTTCCTTCTGCTGATCTCTGGTGGTCTTGCATACTAAAGGTAACGAGTGGATGTGCTGCTGCTGCTGCTGTTGCTGCTGCTGCTGCGTAGCTGCATGCTAAGCACCACTGACGTTGGATTTGCTGCATCCGCGTGCTATTCCTGCGGCTTATTTCCGTGGTGTTGGTGCTGCTGCTGCAGCTCGTGCTACTCTGCTAGCTTTCGTGTCCTTGCTGCAGTGGCTGCTGCAACTGCTGGCTTTGCTGCTCATTCGTACCACGCCGTGCTGCTGCTGCTGCTGCTGCTGCTGTGCCTGTTTACAGGGAGAAGTTGGCATCGACGTGTCGCAGTTGGCTGACCGCCGACACAGCGAGAAGACTCAAAGCTTCAAAGAGGCGTGGGATGCAGCACATGCAGCTTTTAAGGAGAGGATCAAGCAGCAAGGCAGCAACCCGGTGACTCTTTTGACTGCTGATGGAAACGCTGCTGCTGCTACTGCTGCTGCTGGGCATAAAGACAGCAACAGCACTGACGTGCAAACCCAGAAATGAAATAGCAGTGCCGCCTGCAAAGGGCAGCATGAATTCAGAGCAGCAGCACAGGCACCGCCTGCTGCAGCTGCAGCAGCACCTGCAGCAGCTGCAGCAGCTGCAGCAGGAGCAGCATCCTAGCCGTACCGCTGCCAGTATCGCAGTGGGTAAGGATGCAGAACGCTGACCTTCGTTTCGTTCAACATAAGAGCTGCAGCGGCTGCTGCCGCTACAGGGCCGGCTGCAACTGCACCAGTTGCTGCCGCTGCTGTTGCTGCTGCTGGTTCTCTAGCACCAGCAACTGCGCCGTGTCGCCATACAGGCAGCCTTTGGTGCCGGGAAGGCTCCGAGTGACCGTCAAATGGAATATAGAAAGAAAAGGAGCCACAGCAGTTACTGAGGAAGCAGCAGCGAGAGCAGCAGCAGCAGGAGAAAAGGATGCAATGGCATGTCCTTGATATGGCTGCTTCAGCTGCCCGCCTTTGCATGTATCTGAGCTAGAGGCACTAAGTAGTTTGGTGCTAATGTTTCATTTGCTGTTGCAGTAGCTGACACAGAAATGTAAAAGCTTGCTGCAGATAAGCGCAGAATTCCACAGACTGAGTGAAATGGGCAGCAGCAGCAGCAGCAGCAGTAGCAGCAGCAGCAAGAGCTGTCAACCAGCCACGCGCAGTGCTTTAACAGCGAGTAGCATTTGTTCAAACAGCAAACAAAATGAGCCCAACAGTCTGCCTGCGCTGGTTGAGGGGCGTGCTGCAGCTGTTGCAGCTGCAGCAGCAGCTGCTGCAGCCGTGAGCCCCACAGTCTGCCTGCGCTAGCTGAGGGGCATGTTGCAGCTGTTGCTGTTGCAGCAGCAGCGGCAGCAGCAGCTGCTGGCACCGCTGTTGGGCCTACGCGGCCGGATACAGCTAAGGGCAGCAGCGGCCTGCTGCTGCTGCTCCAACGCCAGCCTCAACTTGTGACGAACAGCGACTTCCGCCTCAGTCGATAGGGGCATAGACGTTTGTGTACGAGTAACTGCAGCAGCAGCAGCAGCAGCAAAAGCAGCAGCAGCAGCAGCGCAGGGGATGCAGCCACAGCCAATGCAGGAAAGCCGACCCCAAAAGCCGACGTCCACTGACGCAGCACTAGCAGCAGCAGCAGCTAAGCTCAAACCTGCAAATGAATTATTATTTTAATTTGCATCTTTTAAACATGCTTATTGCGTTTTCTACTAAGTCCTGGGATCAAGCTAAGATCTGGGCTTTCGTGTAGGGGTAACTGCAACAGTGGCTGCACTGCAGCAGCACGTCACTGCAGCAGCGAAACAGGGTGGCGCTGCTGCAGTGCTGCGCTGCCGCTGCGCTGCTGCTGCGCTGCTGCTGGGCTGCTGCTGCGCTGCTGCTGCGCTGCTGCTGCAGTGACTCATGGACTGCTTTGTTTACCTGGAGAAGAGAACGAAAAGCCAACGGAACCAAACAAGCTGGGAAGAATGACACAGCATCCCCCTGCACTCAAACCCCCCACAAGACTTGCAGCTCCACTTGCATCTGCTGCTGCTGCTGCTGCTGCTAGCGCTGACAGTACGTGGCTCCCACGTACAGCTTCAGCGGCAGCTGCAGCAGCAGCAGCACAGGATACGGCAGCAGCGGCAGGTGAAGCAGCAGCAAAGGCGACCGGTGCTGCAGCCGACCTGACGGAAGCTCTTGGAGTGACACATGCTGCAACGTCTCTGATCACAGAAGCACACAGCAGCTTGCTTCCAACTTAGTAGCAGCAGCAAGGCAGCAGCAGCAAGAAGCCAGCAGGCAGCAAATCTTGCAGCAGCGCCACAAGAGGTGCAAATGACTGCTCCAGCGGCAGATAGGGGACCTGAAGCAGCTGCAGCAACACTCGCAGCAGCAGCAGCAGCAACACTCGCAGCAGCAGCAGCAGCAGCAGCACAAGCGACGCACACGCCCTTGTTGTTAGCGTCAATAGTTGCTGGTATGAGATTGAGAACACCCGAGTACTTGCGAAGCAGACCATAGCTTTGCAGGGAGAAGATGAACACTGAAGGCAGCAGCTGCATGTCTTGCATTTGCTGCTGCTCCCGCTGCTGCTGCTCATCCTCGGCCTCCTGCTGCCGGCTTTTTCTCTGCGTTCCAGCTTCCGAATCTGCTTGCGCTTCATCCTTTCTCAGTTGCAGCTGCTGCTGCTGCTGCTGCTTGTGCTCCTGCTTCCGCTGCTGTTGGTGCTGCTTCTGCTGCTCCTTGCATGTTTCAAGGATCTCTGCGTTGTAGAGCCTGAGAAAGATAAAGACAAATGGATTTCTTTCAGCTGCTGCTTCTGCTGCCACTCGTGGTCCTGTTCGTGCTGCAGTTCGCGTTGCAGCTGCTGCTGTCCTACCGAAGTCCCTCGTAGACGCTGCAATGATTGGGGTGTCTAGACACCCCGAGTTCATCAAAGGAGAAAATCTGCAATGAAGCATCCAGAAACAACTAGAATGAATAAATTGGTAAAAATAGAAAGCAAAATTAACAAAAAAGTTGAATTGGGAAAGCAAAAGGCACACTCACAACTTGAATTTGTTTTCTCTTCTCCACAAATGACTTCACGGCAGCACAAACTGCCTTGCTGTCCCATTTCGTCCAGCCATCTTTCATTTCCTTTTCATCCAAACAAACAAAGTTCTCCTTTGGGACACAGAAGGCAGCAGCTGCTGCTGCCAGTTCCGCAGACCTCACTGAGCCAAGCCCCTCGTAGTCGCCTGCAGCAGCAGCAGCAGCAGGTGCAGCAAGTTGCAGCAGCAGAGCGCTGCAGTCAAGGTGCAGCAGCTGGCTGTCAAACTCGCAGACACTGAACACCCGAAACAGCAGCAGCAGCCCAACTAACGACCAAAAACTGCAGCAGCAGCAGCAGCAGGTGCCCAACTACAGACCAAATAGTGCAGCAGCAGCAGCAGCAGCAATGCAGGGCGTAGGCGACGCGCAGGGTTTGGAGTGTCTGCTGACCCGTGGACAGACACAGCACGAAAACTTCAAATCTTTCTTTGCTGGAAGCAAAGAGAGAAATAGAAGGAGCGAAGAACATGGACTCATCATCAGGATGAGCTGTGACAAACAAGACGCCAATTCTGTCTTCTTCCTCATCGCAGCAGCAGCACTCGCTGTCCTCCCCGTGTGGGTGCTGCTGCTGCTGCTGCTGCTCGAGCTGCTCGCGTTGCTGCGCGTTTCGGTCCTGCAGCTGCTGCTGCTGCTCGGGCAGCGGCTGCTGCTGCAGCAGCAGCTGCTGCTGCTGCCTGCGCTGCTGCCGCACCAGCGCAGCAACGAACCGCTCGAGCCTGCAGTTGTGCGCCAAGTGCGCGTTGTACAAAATGCTGCCAATGCATCCGCAAAAGAAAATGCTGCAGCAAAACAGCAAAAACCAGTCGCTGCTGCCAGCCCCTGCAAGTGCTGCTCGCAGAGCCTGTCTGCCTTCAGCAGAGAGCAGCCGCGGGAGGTACTGCAGCAAAGTGACGGAGACAGCAGCGCCTACAGCCCCCAGGGCCACGCCGTAGTTGTGGCTGCTGCTGCTGCGGCTGCTGCTGCTGCGGCTGCTGTTGCTGCTGCTGCTGCTGTTGCTCGCGTCCGGGACGGCAGGAGAAGTGTCGGCAGTGGGCGCAGTCGCCAAATCCTCAGCAGCTGCTCGCTTCGAGCTCTCTGCAGCAGCAGATGCCATTATCAGGTGCAAACAAATCCGAGTTGCTGCGCGCTGGCGCTGCTGCTGCTGCAGTTGCTGCTCGCCGCAGCCGAAGAAGTCGCAGCAAACCCACTACACAGTTCACCCACCTGCTGCTCCCCTGTGGGCAAAAACAACAACTAAATGAAAACAAAAAGAATTGCGGAGAAACGAGACAACTGAAACGCAACAAAACAACTCCCAAAGAAGCAGTACTGACACCGGTGACCTTGCATGCAGCAACGCGGCGCAGCTGCTGCTGCTGCGACTCCCACACAGATCTTCTTGCAGATGTACATCTAGAAAGAAGTACCCTTTGCGTAATATGTCTATATAAACTGCACTTTTCACAATAATGATGCTGGGATGGCAGCTTATCCTGCTGTGATTGCTGCTGCTTTAGTGTAGAGTACAGCCACGCTAGCACGAACTCAGCCAATTTGCAGTTAGTCTTTTCTGAAGTTTTGATCACGAAGAATATCACTTGATGCAACTCACAGCGCCGCCGGAGACAACAGCAGCTCCTGCAGCCTTTCTGCGCAGCTTCCCTGCAGACACTTAGGATGGGCGCAACAGCAGGAACAGCAGCAGCAGAAACACCAGCACCAGCAACAGCAACTGCACTGGAACCAGCAGCGTCTACTGCAGCTCCTCATGGCACTTTGCTCCTTCTAACGACAGTCGTACTGGGAGGCCAAATCAAGACTCTCTGCTGCTCCCCAAGTAGATGCTGCACATCATCACTTGAATGCCGGCTGAATGCAGATTTTTGTTGCCTTTATTTGGCAATTGGCACCACTTATCTCATTATTTACTGTTTTACATTTCTTGTGTCCTTTGGTCACTGTTTCTGCGGCAGTCCCTGTGATACTTTGGTGTGGACTGTAGATCCTTGCCAGTCGCTGGTGTTCTGCGGCTGCTTCTTGTGACTTGATTATAACTTTTTGTGTTCGTCCTTTTCTGGTGTTCACCCCGCTGTGCAACCGTCGGGGTGTTCGTACACCTGACAATGCGCTAAAGAGTGCACAACTGAAGTGACACACACACAAATGACGCTAAGACCAGATGTAAAGACATGCAAGTACAGCAGATGTCTTACGGAAAGGTAGAAACATGCCAAGACAAAAAAAAGAGTAGATATAAAAAAACGAGAAACATGGGAAGGGACACACAATAGTAGATATCCATAAAAAATAACGGCGGCGAAGGCTCTTACACAAACACAGCAAACGCACGAGCTTGCTCAGTCTAACGACAACCCTAAGCTCGTAGTGAACTCAACACAAAGAATGAGAGGCGTCTAAACACACAAAAGCAGAGAAACATTTATCTTGTTTGAAACTAGTTAGCTAGCAATAAATGGTGAGGAATGGCAAGGATTAGCTTCAGCACCAGCCAGACGGACCCACCGAGGCAGAAATATGCACACAAACTCTTTAAGGAAACAGCAGCAAAGACAAAAAACAGAAGGCAGCTGCCAAGGCTAACGGTGCTGTTGCAGCTGGGCTGATGCTGTTTTGCGCAGCAGCCGACCCCTGGGAAACTGCTACCACTTTTCTGCAGCAACACGACCCATCGAAATGTAATGTTCGCCGCATAGGTACTTATTCTGCTGCTGCTCAATGCTGCTGCTGCTCCCGTTCTCATTGGTCTCGATGCCGCTGCTGTGCCGCTGCCGAAACCCATTGCTGCGGCTGCTTTCATGGGGCAGACCGTGGGAGTGAAACAACTGCCGGTTTGCGTGTAGGGGCCCTTGCAGCACATCTGCAGAGAGAGCAGCGAGCTGTTGTTGGAAAAGCTGCAGCGGATACAACGGCGGGCAAAGTCATCCTTAGGGGCTCTTTAAAAGACTTTCATTTGGCAGAAAATCGTGTCAGGAATAATGCATCTGACAGACAGATCTGCACGCGCTGCGGAAACTGCGGTGGCAGCAGCTGCTGCACCGGTGGGAAGCTTCCTGGTTGCAACAGCAACCGGGACATCCACACTGTGCTCCACCAAGCCGCTGCAGCAGCTGCTCCAGCCGCAAATGCTTTTGCCCTTTGCGGCGACGCTGCTAATTCTGATGCTTCCGTGGTGGAAAAAACCACAGCAAAGACGAACAATCCGCTATTCGCTGCTGAATGTGAGGCGAATACTGGTTTCGGCGGTTGGACTCCCAGCAGCAGCTGCAGTGGCAGTTATGGCGGGGAATACAGTTGGACTTGCAGCAAGAGCTGCACCAGAGGTTATGACAACCTTAAACGGAATAATGTTTCCCACACTGGTGTTGGAGACGGGAAAAGCATCAGGAATTCAAGAGAAAATCGTTTGCACTGCATGAGAGGCCCGCTTTCTTCGGTAGTGGGCTCACATGTTGCTGCTTTTGCCACTGGAGCGTCTGCAGCTGGCGGGACCCCCGCCGAATCTGTTGCTCTTTCCAATCCGCAAAACCACAAGGTGCAGAATCCACTACTTCCGTCAGAAGCAGCAGCAGCTACTGCTACTGCAGCTTCAGAATACCATGCAGCCAGGTGCTTCGTCGGTTTCCCCAGCGCGGCAGCGGCAACTTCGAGCGTGCTGTCCGGCGCATCAGAAGAAATGCAGCAGCAGCAAGTTTTCAAGTTGAGTAGAGCAAGGCCTGGTCCTCGCGAACGCCAGGGTGAGCTGTTGCAGAAAATGAGCACGTGCTTTCACGGACAAGTGCAGCAACCTAAAGGAGTCCCAGAAAAGAGTCAACTATTTCGACGGCTTGGAGGAACTTGCCTGCGGGTTGTTGATTGCAACAGTTGCAGCCACCACAGCAGCAACAGTTGCAGCAACTACAGCAGCTACAACAGTGTTAACAGCAAGCGTATCAAACCTAGCGGGAACGTCATTCACATCAAGAGAGGCAGCAGCAGAACCTGGAAGCAATATCCCTTATCTCAACGAGCCAACATTGCTGCGGTAACTACAGCACCCGCTGCAGCTGTCCGTCAGTCCATGTGCGAAGAAAAGTTCGCTCCAGGAGCATTCGGGAGGCGTCAAAGCCAGCCCAGTGCGCAGGCGAAGTGTCCTAACACCAGCACTCTTCACTGTAGTTCTATCAGTGCTTCAGCTGCCAGTACCTGCAGCACCTGCAGTGACATCACTTGCAGCAACAGCAAGAACAACAGCAGCAACGAGCGCAGCGTCAGTTTACCTGCAGCGACATCACTTGCAGCAACAGCAAGAACAACAGCAGCAGCAACCACAGCGCCAGTCATCAAGCCCACTGCCGGCAGGACGAGCGGAAGTGGAATAACACCCAGTTCGTGCAAGCGACAGCTGCAGCAGCAACAGCATCAGTCTCAACCGCAGCTGCAGCTCCACAAGCCTCGGGACGCTTCTTTGCCCGTAAACGCAAGTGAGATACTCCGCAACAACACTTGCAGCAGAAGCAGCACGAGACGCAGAGGCGACCAGTGCAGAGGCGATCTACGGCAAATACAGGTATCGTCATGCAGCAGCAAGATGGCGCAAGGACAACAAAGGTTTAACCACTGCAGTAGCAGCACCAGCACCCAGCTCGTTTTCACCAGAGTCAGCGATAAGAAAAGCACACAGAACAATAACTCTGGCACCCTAAGGAATCGGAACCGCAGGGAAATGCCACGGAAACAGGGCTACAGAGACTGCATGATCAGCAACTGATAGGGATTGAACTGAACAGAGAAACTTCAGCATTCGGAGAAGCGGAAACTCAGTAATAGGATATTTCTGTTGCTGACTGCCATTCTGTCAGCCTGCTGCTGCTACTAAGCCTACGTGCGAGCTTTTCCCTTTGACGGGCCTGCTGAACCTAGTGGTTTCACTGCAGCCTTCACCAATGTGCAAGCTGACTTCATTCTGTCAATTTCATTTTGCGGGTTGGCGCCAGATGAAGTAGCAGCAGAAATATAAAGAACAAATGCAACAATAGAAGCAGCGCAAGCTTGTTGTATTTATCCAAAATTAATTTCGTTTACGTTTCATGCATCTGCTTCTCCCATGTCTAAAATGCCCTTCTTTGCCAACTTCCATCTTTTGTATGCTCATCTCCATTCATTTCTGTCTTCTGCTCTATCCCTGTAGATTCGCAGTTTCATTTGGCTCTTTTCCTTTTTGGTAGCAGCCTTTCGCGTGCCCACTCGTCTATGTCTATGTTGTTGAGGCGTGTTCCGGTACTTCTCTTTACCTTCATATTTCATTGCCTCAATTTGTTTTTCAATGGATGCACTACATTGTGGCATTCGACAGATCAAGTAGCACATTTTACTTGTTTTCCTTGTTCTGCTTACGCCTTTTGTGGCTTTTCAACCTTCAGCCGTTAGGCATAGGCTCGTTTTTGTCTGCATGCTTTCCGTACCTCGTACTTCTGCCGTCTGTGCCTCGAAGTTTGCATCTCTGTGGAGCTCTCCGCTTCACAAATAGATCGAGTTTTTCAACTCAAGAAGCCATGCTTTGAACTCTACGACATAGGGTGACGGCTGATTTGCAGTACAGTGGCTCATGGCCTGACGTGTCCCTGTATATACTGATCCTTGGGTATCGCTGCCTTTTGGATTTCAAAACTACGATAATTGTGCAACAAGAGAGAGATAGCTCTTGCCTTTGTAACATTATATAGCTTGTTCCCTAAGAACCGTTACCGCCTAGTCTATATTGACGTTCCTTCAAGGCCTGCCATATAACGTGCTCTCGCTGGTGTAGTTGTTTGTAGCCACGAGTGCTGCTGCTGCAACGAGAGCATGGAACTAAGCAAAATGGCAAGTAAAGATGAACAAGAATGTTGAAGCAGCAAGCCAAACACGACTAAATTGAGAAATGGAAGGCACAAGCCCTCACATCACGCTACTGAACTCCATGTTCACACTTGCAAAACAAAGCATTGGTGGCGGTGATCAGGCAAAATAGACCTCGAAACACGAGGCACGAAGGTATCTGAGGTTCTTTAGAGCCCAGGCGCTCTTCTCAACCAACCAGCCTCTAGCCAACCTACGACACGATGGGAGAAGGCA